GTGGACTTCTACCAAAAACCGGACCACAAATCGTCCCATAACGCGACCAAACATTAAACTCTACAGGCCTGAAGCAGGGAAACTCCCAGAACACCAGGTGAAGCTTGTTTTAATCAAGCTGCAGCCTAAGCTTCCTGGGTTGAAGTCAGTCCTTTCTCACAAGGTAAACACACGCCAACTTACCGGGGCGTTGGCTCCCGTGGAAGCGGGGCTGTTGGCGTTCTCATCCTCGGGTTTCTGGGGAGCTTCCTCCGGCCCCCGAGTTACCAGAATTCTGAAATGCTGCTGGCCCACGTTTTGATCTTGCCTGATCTTAAACGTGCAGCCTTGACCCTGCGGAGTTCTCTCCACGGAATTCGTCCTGCGGATTTCGGGGACCACCCTGGCGGCCCGAGGCAGCGTCTCAGGGGGTCCTAGGTCTTCCGTGGGGCTCCCTCGCTCAGTTCGGGGCTGGGTCGGGTATGAGGTGCTCCTCTCAAGCCGAATGCGGGGATACCTCACCAACCTATCGCCCTTCGTGCCAGTGAAGCCAAAGTTGAAGTCACTGCCCAGCCCCGGAGCGCCCTGTTGGGGCTGCTGCAGCTGGAAGACAAAGCAGCGCTTCCCGGAGCTTCCAGAAGCATCTGGAACGTGCTGCAGGGACCAGCGCCGGGGCTCGGGCGCAACCGGGCCGGCCTGCCCGTCGGGGCCGAAGGGCAGCAGCCTCACCTGGCGCACGTCGGCGCTGGAGGCGCGGTGCTGAACGCGCAGCCCCGGCCTGGCCTCCTCGGCGCCGTCCCGTGGGCCCGGGCCCCGCACGCGGCGGCCGCACGTGCCATTGGCCTGGAGCCCGGGGTCGCAGGCTGCCCGGGGAGGAGAGCTCCCGGGGGTGTCCCTGGGCGACGGCTCCCGCGGGCCACTCTGCGGCGCGGCTCTGACTGTGGCGGTGGCCTGGTCCCTGGGGTCGGCCTCGGCACACGGAGGCACGTTGTCCGCGCCCTCGGGGGGCCCACACCCGTCCGTGGCCCCGTCTGAGGCTTTGCGCTGCAGGGAGATCTGCACGGAGGAGCTGCGGGTGGGGCGGGCGTCGAAGCTGCTCAGGAGCTGCGGGATGAACATGGACGAGCTGCGCTTGAGTGCGCCCACGCCTCCTTGCAGGCCGCCGCCGTCCTCCCCTCCGTTCTGAGCAAAGGGGTGCGGGCTGCTCCTCCGCGGTAGGGTGTGGAATGCCATGAAAAAGTCGTCTTCTCTCTCCTGGTCTAGGATCTCTGATTCGGGGGCTGTGTTGCTGCGACCAGAGCCAAAATGAAACCGAAGCCGATGGGCCATGGTGACCAGGGGGGCCGGAAGGGTGAGAGCGAGCGGCGACAACAAGCCCGGCACTGCCAGAAGTCAAAAACCAAAGGCACAAACTCCAAGAAAAAGTGTCCCATCTGCCAAACCGTTAGCACTGCGGCACCAAGAGCGACAGATAGCAGAAATAACCCAAGTGGCAAGCGGCATTCCAGGCATGATTGGATAAGAGCATAAAGCTCTCATCCGCACTGTGACAGAGGGTAGGGTGGCCAGAACCACATGACTGCACTCTCCCCCTCCAATGCCAGCTTGTGGACTTAGTGGAGTTTTACCCCCTCTCGCTCTCATTTCTTTCGTTCTTTTTTTTTTTTTTAAAGACAGCAAGAGCCTGAAACAGCACCTTCCCAGCTGCTGCTTTTCCATCAGGAGGAGTGGCCCCAGCGGGGACCTCTCACAGCTGACTGCGGCAGCAAACACACTGCAAGCCATGCCGCTATAAATCTAAACCGCATCACATTCACAGGACATTTCTTTCCCAACTCAGCAGAGCGCTGGGACTCACTCTCTCTTTAACCAGTGGAAGGGACCTGGCATTAAACACAAGCACACATGGCATTTCCCCGCCACACCAAATAATGACAAGTAAAATACCGCCTGGCTGCCGGGTAAAACCCTTTCACAAGCTGGGATGCTATGTTTCTGTTATTTATGATACCGCTACACTACCATGAGGGAATGCAAACTAATAAAATGTCCTATAAATACGATTACACACCCCCCAGAATAAGTATCCCTTTAATGCTAAATAATTAGACTATGATCTACAAGTAACAAAATAGCTACATGGAGGCACCAGGGGCACAACTTACTGAGCAGCCAGTTGGCAGTCTAGTGTGCCTCTTGCTACTACAACATTTTTCCTGTGTGTAAAACTCACATGGGATTGGGAGAGACAAAGTACCAGAGAAAAGGAAACTGGCTGGAAAAAACACTGTCTCTCATATGCCAGGTAGGAGAGAAAACAACCCCGTATTCCACCCACCCCTCCAAAATTGAAAAGAGTGTGCGTGTGGTTTTGTAAAAATTTAACTTAAATGCCATACAGAAACAATGCTGCCTGGAGGGGACTGTTTTTCCTGAGAAGTCGGTAATGCTTCCACTGTTGGGATACAAACATGGGATCTTGCTATGTTTGCAAAGTGCCAAAAAGGACCTAAGAAATAAAACCACACGTTCAAAAAACTGTCAACGGATTTGTATTTAACTTGGAAATAGTCTGTGTGTTTTAAACCTACTATTTTCTCTGATTCAGAAACATCAGTTATTTTAAAAAGAGGTTTGTTTGGGAGGGGCTTGAAAAAATAAGTTAGAGGGGAGAATACCAAGCTGCAAAGAGTGACAAAAAATTTATTTAAAAATCTGCAAACCATGACTTTGTCAACAGCTCTGGAATCAAGGGTGTGGAGGATTAACCCTGTGTTTACATACATCCCAACCTGTTTTCTAAAAGCATGTGTTTTCAGTGCCAAAAATGACCTCTAAGAGAAACAGGGAAGCTAGCTTATTTAATGCTAAAAACCTCCTTGCTGGATTAATAGCCAGCAAAGAAAAAACACCACTGCCAGCATTTTTTACACAGTAACAACAACACTACAGATGGCCCCGGGACAAAGCTAGGTATTAATACTATAAAACACTATCTTTCAGATAAAGTGTGTGTTTACACGAGATTTCTTAAAAGTTTTGCATTCAAGGCCCTTTGTGGTTTTGAAATGTACAAAGCATAGTTTTGGCCCCATGACAAGATCATCTCAACTACAGTCACTATTTCAAATATGGAAATGGGAAATAATTTTTTAACATTGAATTTCTCTTAGTAGAAGAGAAATAATGAAATAAATCACACTGAACAAGAGGCAATTTCTCAAATTTGACCCTTTCTTCATCTCAAATAAGAGTTAACATACTGAATACATCAAAGAATGATGATTGGGGATAATGCTGTACTACTGAATCCTGCCTAATACACACAGGCCCTGCTGGATTAAGAGAGAGAGGAGCAAGAACTCCACCCTCCGCATTCACAATTTAAATTTAAATTCACAATTTAAATCTCCCATTCACAATTTAACAAGAAAGTAACTTCATGCACACAATGAAAGTGATTTATTTAGTTATTCTGTACTACTAATTATCACCCAAGGGTCAAAATGTGGGGTTCAATGCATAGCCATGAAGAGCCCATATGTTTAATAGAAAAGATATTAGGATGGTAGGCTAGCATCTGTTAGTTTTCTATTTTGAAGAATAATACCAAGCTAAGAGATTAAATATATTCCCAAATTCTTCAATAAGGATAACAGGCCTGGCTGTTCATCACCATCGGACTGAGACTTAGAGGAGACCAACAGGCTGGACCCTCGTGCTTCCACTGACTGATATGTTTAAATTATGTAAAAAGCTCTAGACCTCTTACAAGAACAGGGAGTTACATTAGTGTTTTATTAACATCACACTATTAAAAAATAAAAAATTTCAAGTAAATTCTGTAAAAAGAACGGTTTATAAGAACAGTCCTTTTTAACCAATCTAAGTTTTAGCCAAGGTAAATTTGAGTATTACTGACTACAATGAGTTATAATACCACTTCTCAGAGTAACTTAAGGACTTGACATGATAATGTTCATTTTCATGGTTGGGACAGTTGGCTTATAGGTACCTAACATATACATTCTAGTTACTTAAGAAAGCAAAATGCTTTAAGCCAAATTTGCTTTTAAAATTCCATTTCTAAAATGAAATCTTAGGCCAGGTGAGGTGGCTCACATCTGTGAAGAATGCTAGCAGTCTGGGAGGCCAAGGGGGGAGGATCACTTGAGCTCAGGCGTTGGAGACCAGCCAGAGCAAGGGGAAGTACCACCTCTACTAAAAATAAAAAAAAAAAATTAGCCAGGCATTGTGATAGGTGCCTGACCTCAGCTACTCGGGAGGCTGAGGTAGGAGGATCATAGGAACTCAAAAGTTTGAAGTTGTTGGAGCTAGTCTGATGCCAAGGCACTCTAGCCTAGGTAAGTGGGTGAAACTCACTCTAAATACATACGTGCATAAGTAAATGAATAAGTAAAAATCTTAGTTATATCAGTTATGTATTTCACCCTACAGATACATATATATCAATGTGCATTAATTAAATGTTAATTTATATCTGGTATATAGTTCAGACATATCTTTGGTTCTCTCAAGGTACTTTCTAAGGATATGTCTTGAGAAAGTAGCACTTTTCAACTACAGCTTAAATGTAGATTAATTTTTTGCTCTAAATCATTAATTAGATATTTATTTTCCTAGAAAGAATCACCATGGATTGCTATTGAATGCTTTTCAGCATTAGAGTCTGCCTTACATTTGAAAACCCTGCAAGGTTTATTTACATGCCCAATGGCCTCTTTATAGATTTGCCTACACCCTACATTCGCAACACTACAGCAAAAGCATACAGGCTGAGACATCACCAGTGACTCTCACGAATAGTAACTGCAATAGAAAGACACACATATACAAATATATTTCTTATCCTAGCAGCACAAAAGTATTTGTTAGAATGATGAATAGGAAAAGATAGTCTTGACTTTGGGCATACGTAAATACAGAGCTATAAAGATACTGGTCCAAAAATCCAGTTTATTATAAAACAAAGCAGAATTCAAAAACAGGGACCCGCTTACCAATCTGTTTTCGTCAAATACTTCAAAAAGGAGTCTGTGATTAGATGGGTTTACCTATAAAAGACACAAATAGTATTTTTAAACAGCAGTCATTCTAACAATGAAATACGGGACAGAAAGAATAAAATACTGCTTAATAATGCAACCAACTAAATTGTATGACATGTAACAATTCACATGCTCTTTGGGAAATTCTGCATTTACTAAATCAAATTTTTGTTTACTGATTTCTATATTATTCTACCCATAATTTAGACATACCAAAAACAAGAAAAGGCTCATAATTTAGACATATCAAAACAAGATACCAATAATACAGACATATCAAAACAAGAAAAGAAAAGATAATTCTAAATAGCTTTAAAGAGTTCCTAACCTCCCTTTCAAAAGGCAACCTCATGCTGGTAGACCAAGGTCACATCCTCACAAAGGTTTATGGCTACGAAAAATTCTTAGGCCTACTAATAGCAGTAATCATAAAAATTTAGAAAATAGTAATAGCAGCTAGTCACAACAACTGTGTGCTTATTTTTTTAGGCACTCTCACCTTATAAAATATGGATAAATACAAAATCACATTTACTCCTCTTAGCAATCCTGTGCCATACAACTATCACTCTAATTTTACAAGTGAGATGCCAAGACTCTGAGGGTGAAGCAACTTGCCCAAGAGCACATTGCTAGTGTGTAGAGCAGCCAGGACCTGCACCAGGTCTGGCCTAACTGTCTCCAAAGTTTAGGCTGTGAGTGATTAGACAGACTTGGAAATAAAGGATATCCCTACCTCCAACAACATGGGACCAATGTCAGACCTACTAGACTTTTAATATCTTTTTGCTTCTTTCTTCCACTGTACCACAACCTCACCAAAGTGGTCCATGTCATCATCCACACTTAGGGATCACTTAGTGAATACCAACCAGGTGTGTGACGGGGTGCTGTGTGTTCTCATTTATATGATCGCACATAAATTCCAGAAACAACCCTAACAAGTAAAGACTTCTCCATTCTATATGAGAGATAAGGAGATTCAGAGTGCTCTGGTGGCTCTTCCAGGTTCACAAAGGCTGTTAATGGTAAAGACAGAGATGTGACCCAGGTCTCCTGTTATTAGGCCTTGGCTGCTTTATGACGGAGAGTAGAATGAAATATTTCTGAGACCTCAACTTGTACTTCTAGCCCTTTGGTCTGCCCATAGTCTAATGGTAGTACAAACAGATGGATGGTGAGTTTGCTGTCTCTTTAAAAGCTCTGTGAAGAGCTGTGTTGCTAACCCATGCATCTGCAGGCTACAGGTGGGAGCTGGCAATAGTAGGCAATCATTGTAAGATGAATAAAAACAAAGGTGTTTAAAAAAAAAAAACAACGAAAACAGAATTTACATGTTTCTACAGCCAAGATTAATTGGACAAAGTTTTGGATATACTAAAATTTACATAATTGTGACCAAAATGTTCAACTGAAAGCAGACTAAATAATTCAGACTTTTGTAAGTGGAAAGTACGTTTGAGGGGCAACTGAGGGCCACAGCACCATCAGCCCCCATTAGCTTTCCAGTCCTTCACAGAATAATTTAAAATACATCTGATGGAGGCTGTACATAGGATCTTAGCAAGTATTAAACTATCAGTGCCATATTTCAGCTCTGAACATAACAGAAAAGATTCTGTACATAGTAATCCAAGCCTGAAACACACACACACACAAATACCATTGTGATCGAAAGAAAAAAAATCAGGATCAGTAAGTCTCATGGCAATATTATTCTCTGGGATTCTACAGTAATCGGAAGATCTTATTTGGAGGTAAGCAGTTTTAAATATCACAGCCACATAACTAGAGTATCTTCATTTTGAAGAAAAAACCCTTTCTTTCACTGAAATAGCTGAGCAAATTTACTATTTCTCAAATTTCAGTAACAAAACACAGCCAAAGAGGCCAGGTGTGGTGGCTCATCCCTGTAATCCTAGCACTCTGGGAGGACAAGGCAGATGGATCAACTGAGCTCAGGAGTTTGAGACCAGCCTGAGCAAGACTGAGACCCTCATCCTTTAAAAATAGCCAGTCATATTGGTGGCACCTGTAGTCCCAGCTACTTGGGAGGCTGAAGCAAGAGGATCACTTCAACCCAAAAGTTTGAGGTTGCGGTGAATTACGACGCTGTGGCCCTCTACCAAGGGTGACAAAGTGAGACTGTCTCAAAAACAAACAACAGCAAAAACTACAAAAGCTCACTAATCAGAAGTCTTTGCTAATTCACAGAGTTCAGTCATTTCTACATAAAGCTCTTATAAATATTAAATATAAAAAGGTTGAGGAAATTTTATCTAAGTCAGCCACATTTAGATTCCAGAAGTAATCTGATATTATAGACAACATATACAAACTAAATACGTGAATTACAAAATTTTCCTTTCTAACTGGTTCACAGTTGGCAATTTTTATGCTTCTTAATAATCATGTTGCTGCTAGTGTTTTTTTCTCCCTCTAAAATCATTCATAACCCATGTCTCATAGAATAACACTATTATTTTAAATTATACTTTGTTTTACTTTTTAAAGAAAAGTCTGAGTTGAAGAGACTAAATATGTTATTTGGATAACTGTGTTTTTATTTCCCCAAAATACCTCCAAATGAAATAAGTCCAGATTTTGTGACTACTACTCATAGTCTTTCAGAATTTAGGACACAGTAAGAGGCCACCTAACCATGTTTCATCCTAAAAGGAATTTCTTGTTAAAAATCTAACAGCTTTCCCTCAATGTAAATCTGTTGTAATAATATCTCAGTCTGGACATCAATAAAAATTATTACCCCCCCAAACTGAAACACTTACTCTAAAGTAGAATTCTTCATTCCATTTAGGGTTCAGCGTCTGAAAGAGAAATTATCTTGTAATATCTTTCATAGTCTTTGAAACATTAACAGTTACTAATACAATGCAGTCTATATATTTGCTTAAGCATTTTTTTCTTGACAAAAAACAGCTAAGCAATTTTCAAAGTGGTAATAAAAGAAGCATTTAGTCAATTATTTGAGAATATTCTATACACTGAACTGAGGGGAAGGAATCTATTTATGAAACAGATGACTCATAGATAAAAAACCAGAAATTGCAGGCTATCATCAGAAGAAAAAACATCGGGGCCATACAATGAGCCATCCTCAAGAAAATATAAAAATTTCCTTCAAGAAATTAGCATTGATATGATTAACTCTACCAAAAAGGAAATGAGTTTGTTAACTTCCCCCTGTACCTGCTACTAATGTGTTTTGGAGAGCAATGGAGTAGGTAAGAGAAGGCTTAAAGTGTTGATTATTTATATAAATGTTGAAATCTGAAGAACATTTTATGGAGAACAGTATTAATCACCAGATTTAAAAACCAGAAAATATGCCTGCCAGTTATAAGCCAAAAGAGAATTTTTTTTTTCTAAATAACCAGGTTAAAAAATATTTGCCAACTTTATCCTTCAATCTTCCTCTCTATCCATCCCTCCCTCCCTCCCAATATACATCTCACAAGAATACGGCAAGGATATTTCTGTCATCAGAATGGACAAAGCTGGGCTGCCAAATATCCTTCAAAACTAAGATGAGGCCCATTCCATGAAAATCTGTTTGTGCATTTGCACATGCCTAATACTTTTAAACACAGCTCTTAAAAATTACATGCTGAAAACCAAAACTGGAAAACCACCACCTCACCAACATTTACAGACATTTTATAGTCAAAATGATATGTGCCTTTATCAATCTGTTTCCTTTAACATACCAATTCAGGGAGAAGTTTTTTTTTTTTTCTTTTTAAATAAAAGCAATACAATACAATACCATAAAAATACACACAGAAAGAACTCATCTAACACTGAATCGGCATTTTAAAAAATCAGCACTTTCTCCACCCACAACTCCACAGTGAATCCAATCCTAAATAATGGGGTTTCATACTTTTCACTATGAATGGAGCCGGGGATGGCAACACGCAGGGGAGCTGAAGAGAAGCCCCCCTCCCCCAGTAGGCCTGGCCACCCCGGGCTGCCACAGTCCTGGAGGGCAGCTTTGTGGACATGCACACAGGGAATGACAGGCCAGGGAAGCAAACGACACCACCAGAGCACGAAACAAATGAAGAACCAGTCACAAGGACGAGGGCGTGAGGGCAGCACAGACAATACTAACCAGAAGCAGGGCAGCTGTGCTGTGGAAGGCAGGGAGCAGGAGGCCCTCCCCTAGGAGGGAAACATATTGCAATAGCCCCAACGGCAGGCTTTGGTCCTCAGCTCCGCATCCAGCAGCAATGAAGTCTCCTGGCTGCTGCCTCCGTTGCAAGGCTGCGAGGTGGCCCCCACTCGCCTTGTGACTGAGCCTGAGCCGGCGACAGTGCCTAACACAGAGAACAATGGCCTCCGTCCTACACAGGCATCCTCCCTACTAATCACAACACGGGCTCCCGTTTGCAAAACGGATTTTTAGTGCCAGTCCCAATGCCAGGTGGAGGACACATTGCAGCTACGATTCCTTACACAAAACGACCTGGCCATGGATCTGAGATGTCTGAATGGCAACAGGAGGGTTAGAATTTTTTTAAAGCAATCATGCTGTCCAGAAACTGTTTCACAATGTGTTAAACTATCTAACTGTCCCCCTCAAAGGAAGGTGAAGGGGGAAAAAAAATCCCAATAATCCATAAATACTACTAAAGCCCAGAATAAAGCTATGTTTTTGATAGAAAACATACATCTGCAGTCAAGTTCCCAAATATGGGGTAAATATCTGCATATATTTTACATAGGTACACAAACACATGGAGACAGACAAGTTAAACTATAATTATGGGCACCAATCTTTATTGAAACATGTACATGAAACATGAAAATAAAATATATATGCACGCATATAGCTTTACTGTTAATATAATTTATGTTTACATGTAGCTAACCCAGCATTTCCCTTCCATTGGTAATAACTGCTTCAAGTTAAATTATTTCTTTGTGTCTACAGATTCCACAAACCACTCCATTTCATTAATGTATTTTAAATTACTTTAACACACTGACTCCTGCACTAGAAAAAAAAAATGTTCTTCCTTAGGGCCATGGTGTTTTATTAGGTCAAGATAAGTCAAGAGATGTGTGAGTTATATATGCTTCACAAGAAACTTAAATACAACTCATGTGGCAGCTGATGTGTTAAGTTTCTTTCTGAAAATAACAAGCCAACTAGAATAAATCCTTGTTCGGCTGTATGCTTTGCAGGAAAAAAATAACTACTTGTCACAAGACTTACTTTGAGAATACCGTTTCTATAATCATTTAACTAAAAACCAGAATTGATCTCTTGAGGTAATATTGAAAAGGTTTGGTGTATGTATGAGGACCTTATAGATTTAATACTGAAGGATGCCTAAAATAAAATACTGCCATCTTAACCTTAAAATATAAACTTCTGGAAAGCCAAATACTGTCTTGTGCTGATGATGGAGTATGTTCCGAGAAATGTGTCATTAGGCAATTCTATCATCACGGGAACATCATACAGTGTACTTACAAAAACCTAGATGACACAGCCTACTAGGTACATTTGGTTTATTGATCCTAGGGTACAAACCCGCACATCAGTGTTACTGTCCTGAATGCTGTAGGCCATTGTAACACGATGGTATTTGTGTATTTGAATGTGTCTCAACACAGAAAAGGTAAAGAACAGCATAAAAGATAAAAATGGTACACCAATATAGGACAGCTCCCTTATCATCTTACAGGCCCACCATCATAGATGTGGCGTTATGCAGGCCATGACTGTACATTCTTGGATTACATGACAATTTAAATGGAATTTAATTAAGGATGGACACCCACCTTTTTAATGGTCTTTGTCTGCACCAAAGCGAGTTCTCTATTCTCATCTGCTACGTACAACGAAAGTTTCACATACGGATCACTGCAAGAAAATATTTTAGATTTAACAGGACTGTACTTTTAATTTAGAACAAAGTAGTTGAACCTGAATGAAAATGCATGTTATCAGTTAAAGTCCCAGCTTATATTATTTCCACAAAATAAGCAATAACATTTTTAACATGCCTACTAAATCATTATACTCTGGGAAAAGATTCTATCAACCAGAACCAATCATTTTTTAATGTGCTTTTGAATAAACAAGAAAATGAAACACACATTCTACCTTTAAAGTTAATTTTCCCTGCAATTCAAAATAATTAATTTCATAGTTTTTGTTTTTAAACACAGCTACTAAAAGATCACAATAAACACTAAAAGGCATATAGAATTTGTTTAGACTAGGAAAATCTAGCTAGAAAATTTAGCTTATATCTTATTCATATTCTTATTTCCAGTGTGTAGGGAATTAGTGGAGGTAAAACAGCTTTTAACAACACCTATAGGTTTAAAAAAACAAAAACCAAAAAAAAAAAAAAAAACTAAAAGCTAGAAGGTCAAGAAAGATTGACTTGAAGTTATAAATTTGAGTAAAGTCTAAATTCAAGTTTCCTAACTACAAGTCCCAGAATTTCTTGCACACGCCACACTATTTGCAATAATTATTTTACTGGGAATCTGAAAACTTTTAGCAAGATGTGTATCAAAAATATTACTTGGGTGGCACCTGTGGCTCAATAAGTAGGGTGCCAGCCCCATATACCAGGTGTGATGGGTTCATGCCTGGCCCCAGCCAAAAACTGCAAAAAGAAAAGAAAAGAAAAAAAATTGTCTTAAAGCTGAGAAAGCAGCATTGTTAACTGGGAGTAGCTCAAATCTAGTCAAACTATCACTTTGTAAGGATTTGGGTCAGGAGAATTCCTTCTTTTTTATACATGCAATCCTGAAAACCATATAAAGGGCTCTCATATATTCAATCCTCCAATTCCCCCTTATCTAGTTATCCAGAGCCAGTTATTTCTATCAATCTATCATGTTAATTTATGCAATTTGAGAATTATCCTTCATTAGCTATACCATGACTATTAACTCTTATTTGGCAACTTCTAAGATATTTCCAAACATTGCAGCGACTATCTTAAAATGCTAGGACCATATTAATTTCTATTTGATATCTCAAAAAATATGCCATGAAATTCTTTAAGAGAAAACTATGATACAATTAAAAGTTTGGTGGTAACAAGACTGTAGTCAATATCCCGCCCTCCCCCCCCAAAAAAGGTCAGTGAAATATACTATTAGTGTATGATACGGTATTTGTTACCCACAAATTGCATCTTAATAGAGGCTATACCACATACCAAAAAAAGCAAAAGAATTTGTTCTGTTATATCCCACAATGGGTACATATTTTTAATATTCTAGTTCAGAAGAAGATATGAGTCAATCTTTCCCTCTTATCCATAAGCTATAAATCTTTATTTGGTTAAAGAATAAATATCTAGCCAGATGCACCCATTATTCCTTACATGGACACCCTCAGGTTCAGAAAGGTGAAGCAAGAGCTAACACCCAGCCTGAGAGCTTCCTAAATGGGAGCTCATGGGCCAGGGAAGTGAATCAGGTAAAACCAGGCGAGTGATGCTCAGACTTCAGCATATCTGTATCACCCTGGGGGTGAGGGAGGTGGTTCAAACACAGGTTTGCCGGGCCCCAAGCCAGAAGCTGAATCTGGTCCGGGGTGGAGACCTAGAAATCTGCATTACTGACAAGCTCCCAGTGATGCTAAGACTCCTGATCAGGAACCACACTCAGAGAACCACTGTTCTCAACGGTTCTGGAAAACAGTCTTTTTTAGAGACTAAATAAATTAAAATTTCTGTTTTCAGCCACCAAGCTGTTGTTTTAAAAAATAAAAACAAAAGGCTCAGGCCCGTAGCTCAGTGAGTAGGGTGCTGGCCACGTATAGGGAGGCTGGCGGGTTCAAACCCAGCCCAGCCCTGCTAAACAATGACAACTACAGCAAAAAAAATAGCCAGGCATTGTGGTGGGCACCTATAGTCCCAGCTACTCAGGAAGCTGAGGCAAGAGAATCGCTTAAGCCCAAGAGTTTAAGGTTGCTGTAAGCTGTGACGCCATGGCACTCCACCAGGGGCGACATAGTGAGACTGTCTCAAAAAAATAAACAAAAAACCCCTCAAGGCCTCATCATCAGTGTGACCTCAAGAACAGGCTCCCAGCATGCTGTGAGGGTACACGCACACACACAGTCCCAGGTTATGAGAAACACCATAAACTCTGCTCCCAGCTCTTGTTTTTATGTCCCTCAGCTATTGTGATTACCGGCTTGATTATGTAACCACAATAAAGAGCTAGGCATTCACTTTAATAGAACACCCACATTCTTCCAATGGTCGTCTCTGCCCCTCGAATAGCTCACAGTAAGGGACACAGGCAGTTGTGTGTGGGGTTTCAGTGTGGGACAATGTGTCTTCCAGCTGTGTGACTAGGAAGTCACGTCAGAGCACCTAACATGTTCAGTGTGCATCCAGGTGGGTACGAACCTATACTCAAGCCAACGGAAGGCTGACCAAGAGACCACGGAAGGGAATTCAGTCAAAGGCCAAGGTCCTGGGCTGGTTAAAGGATAGTAGGGTGTAAGCTTTATGGAAGGGAAACAGTTGCCCAAATCGTGCTCAGGTTCCCAGTCTCTTTCTGCTGGTGCTTAATTACTCTTAACTTCAGCCTGCTCATGAATAAAATGGGAATGACAATGCCTAACTCAGAGGGTCACAGGCAAGGATCAGAGAACATTATGTACTAATAGGAGTGCCCAGCACAGTGCCAAACACACGGTGCCAGTGCCCCCAATGACAGCCAGGACCGTTCCTCTTCTCTTCCTCCTCTCTCAGGAGACACTTGAGGCTCTCTGTTGCTCCTGTTGATGCCCTGCTTCTGCTATGGTTACAGACTTGACACTGATTCCTCCCAGTACACACTGGGCGCTGGCCAACTACTGCATGCTAAGTGTTCCTTTATTACTCACACCGCATGGAATCCCCCAGGGATCTCAGTAGAGGTGATCAAACTGGGGGGACCCTTATTCACAACAGATCCCCCAAACTCCCTGTTGGCAACTTCCTCTTCCAGGGGCTGTTCGGTAGAACTCAGGGTTAGCACTGATAATGTGCCTCTCTAAGAAGCTCAGCACTCTGCAGATTAGAAAGGAAATTACTCTGCAAAGCTTTGGTTTTTTCTACTTAGTCAAGCTGCTAAGGACATTCTTCCCCTCAGACTGGGATTCAAACAGCCTCCTATTTATTGAGTGCCTACTATATGCCAAGCAAGGAAACAGCCACAGAAAGAAGAGACACTTGACTGTCCCCGCCCATGCGAATGGAGTGGAGAAATTAAACCCAAGAGCAGCAGCAGTCCCTGACCTCTCCCACACCAGAGTCACCTGAAATCTAGGGGCCTGGCCCCACCCCAGACCTGCTAGATCAGAATCTCTGGGTTAGGATCTGGGAATCTGTATTCACTGATTGTCCCAGGTAACTGCTGTGCACTGGCCCATCTGGACAGTCCAGCCAGAAAGTCTTCTGAAGCCACACATGAGGCTGGGATGCAAGAGCCATGAACAAGGCGAGGATTTTCCCGGCAGCCAGATCACAGGTGAAGGTCCAGGGATAGACAGGGGCTGAGAGTTTGAGCATTCAAAACATCAAGCACAGCTGCATTGTTGCAGTGTAGGATTCAGGAAGCAGCAGCAGCCAGTCATTCCCGCCGTGCTCAAATCCTGCACCCACTGTTTGCAACTCAACTTTGGGAAACTCACATAGCCTCTCTGGGACTCAGTTTCACTGACTATGTAATGGGGATAACATCAGTACTTCCCTTATAAGGCGACTATTGGGAAGATTAAAGTTACAATAGTGCTTGGCATATAGTCAGCAGGGGAATGTTTTGTCATCACCATCACCAGACAGAAGATTCATGATCAGATTCATCACAGGAGATAAAACAGCAGACACATAGACCGGCTGGAAGACTTCTGCACCAAGGAACAAGAGAGGTCTAAACAGACAGGTGGTGAGGATCAAAGCTAAAGAATTAAACTCTCATCCAAAGATGGACTTCAAAGAACAGGGTGACCAACTCTACCCTGTAGTTCAGCCTTCATGGACACACTGAACAAGGACAGTCAGTCCTGACTCGACACTGGCAGGGTAACGCTCTCCTTCTGACACACTGAGTGGTCTCTGTACTTCTACACCTTTTACACATTTTTATCAGAATAGTTTTCACTGATATCCACATATGAGAAGAGGGCAGGGCGATGAGGAGGAAGGGAGACAGGAGCTGCCTCTGATGGACAACATATCAAGGCAGATGACATTCAGACTGCAGTCAGGTTACAATGACACTGTCCTGTCTACCAGCTATATATAAAGGCGGTGACACCAAGACACTGGTGTCAGAAGAACAATGAGAAAGTTCTTCGTTTTTCAACCACACCCCCGTGGGAGTATCCTGACCATCCCTGAAGCAGGCAGTAATTCTTCCCCAGGGTAGCCTGTAAAAGCCTCTGCTCTCTATTAGCAAAGGGTGGAAGGCTAATGAACACGGCAGATCGCGCAGCACCACGGATCAAATTTATCTCGACTACCTGACACCTCTTTAGCTAACCCAGAGAAAGTTTCATTACAAAACCTATTTTGTTAAATGACAACTTGTTCTGTTGCTGGGTTCCTCATTCTTTCCACTCCGACAATTACTGTCTTCTTTCCTCAACAAAGAAATAACACACAAAAAAACATCTATGACACGAGAAGGAAAAAAAAAAACCCAGAAAGTGTGAGCGAAGAAATAAAACGTCATGAATACACACGGTAATACTGAAAACTGGAGTTTCTTGTTTTATTGTTGCAGGTTAATGGAGGGTACAACGAGTTAGGTTACTTGGTTTGTATTTGTGACCTAAAGCCCCTCTTACAATTGTGTCCTGCCCCCAACAGGTGTGCCATACACCCCAGCATTGTGCCC